AATGATGTGGATTAAACAAATGGAAGCGCGCGTGTTTCGCTAAATGTAAACGTTAAAAATTGTATTAAAGACTTTTTTATTTTGTAATTAAACAATTGATAAGCAAACGATCAATAGAGATTATTCATAACGGCATTTTTCGTATACTTGCTATCTGTATAAGCACGTTTCAGATAGACAAACACTTAAGCTCAAGTATCTGAATCTGACGAATCGACAAGCATATCATTATTATTATTATTTATATTTATTTTCCATTTAATTATCTCTTTTTTTATTCGAATTTTTCCGAATTTTGATTCGGAATTCCCAATATTTGGTAAAGTTGCTTGAAGCAATGATATTATTTTCAAAATGAAATGTTAAGTTTTGTCTATTTTTTATTGAAATACAACATAATAAAACATTATAATATAATATGACGGATTTCGAACAGAAGCTTCAAAGCTCTTCAGAATGTGTGAGTGAGAGAGGGATTTTGTATAGGATTTATTTTTCGAAGTCGGAGAGGGATTTCGGAATCAGATTTTACTTGAGAAGTAAGTTCTTATATACAAGGAAGAGTTCCTACGATCTCCAGAATCGGGATTGGAACTAGAATAGAATATTATATCATATATAATGAACATTTCCAAGGGAACTTTCGAATATATTCAGATATATAGAAGGATTGGCCATAAAATTTCCTATCATATAGTATCGAATTGCAAACTTCTATATAAAAAATTTTACGCAACCTCTATACCTATGTAAACTGTACCCTAAATATATTACGCAATGAACCGAGCCCCTTTATAATATTTTGCAATGTGATAAAAATCATGTTAACCCTGATATAAGACATTTTTATGTATTTCGCACGAATAGGCAGTTTAGTTTTGTATTTCTATTTTTTGTCTCTTTTTTTAATTTACCTGGCATTACATAAACCATACCTGAGCTGGCTAACACCTCGAAGCTGCCCCTCGGAGCTGAGCTTCAGCTAGTTAAATGTTGCAGGCCATTAGAAGCGAGTGGAAAACCTACTTCAGAAACATGTTTTAACCTTTTTCGTGGCGTGCAAAACTTCAACTTAAAAACTCAAATTGGTCAAGCGGCGCAGCTTACAAGTTCCCAAAAAAAAAAAAAAAAAAAAATTATATATAGATACACGTACACATACACACACACTCGCTCACGCTTGACAACAAGAACAAGGCAAAAGGGTAAAAACGAGGCACGCCAAAAATTTGCAAAAAAGGCAAAAAAAAAAAAAAAACGAAATAAAGCGAATTTGACGCGTCGCTGCTCGTGGCCAAAAAGAGCGCTGCCAGCGTCGCTACTAGCTGCGCTGCCAGCGTCATCGGCGACTGTCAAACCTTTGAGCGGCGATGGCGACTTAGACGTGACTTACAAACTAAACGCGCGCAGCTCAAGGTTAAAAGCAGTTTATTTGTTGTAAGCCACTAGCCTTATGGCCAACAGCTAGGCAGCCAAACAGGCAGCAGGCGACGGCCAACAAAAAACAGAAAAAGCTGAAAAAAATAAAACAAACGAAACTGAAAATGCCAAAACGAAGAAAGAGAATCTCATCTGTTGTCTGCCTTTAGAATACCCTACAGTCACTACCTAATGGGGTGTATTAGCTGTGTTGTGGGGCGGCTGGATATATACATATGTATATGTATATGTATATGTATATATGATATGGATATACAGATGCGCATACCACAAGCTAGACGACTTTTGGACAATAGAGATAAATATTTCATTGCTGAATATTGATAGCTATAGTAGATTCTAGTATTTAGGGAAAGAAGCGTTTTCGATGAATATCGAAGTCTATACAGCTATTGGGATTTTCTACTCTTCAATAGCCTTATAGATTCTGTTAAATATGAATATTCCTCTGAGAATCTTCCTTCTAACATACACACCCTTTTAGTGATTATCGCTTAATCGATAATTATCGAACTCTGATATACTTTTACCTATTAATGCTTCATCGATAAATTTCGATTTCTATAGGCTTATTGAAATTCTCTACTTTCCAATAGTCCTATAGATTCAGTTATACATAATATATTGTAAGATCGTATATGAATATGTTTTCTAATCAAAGCAAATCCTCTTAAAATCTATATAGAAATATCTATTGGGGTTATCCATTTTCAATAGATTTATAGATTGTCTAATGTATAATATATTGCAAGAGCAAATATGAATAAATTATCTAAGTCTCTCCCTTCCAGGTACAGAGTATCTGTGACGTGCAACACTTTTACTTATTCTTGTGACTGTTGTTGTTGTTGTTGTTGCTATTGTTTTCGCTTTTGTTTCGTTGGAGGACTCTGTCGAGGCGAAGCCTGTGCCAGTTATTTTATATTTTGTTGTTGCTCTTTTTGGTGTGCGCTTTTTGTTTTGTGGGCGTGTCTGAAATGCTAACAAAAAGCGCAGTTAGAAGCTGCCACCGAGGCGATCTTCGCTGCGCATATTGCCCCTAATTGCTGCCCATTGTTGCACTATAACGTAATAATAATAATAGCAACAGTTGCTGTTGTTGTTGTTGTTGTTGTTGCTGTGATATTGATGGCCAGTTGGCTTTGTGTCTGCGATAAAATGGCTTTCAATTAATTAGCAGGCAATATCGAAAATGTGTGCTAAAAGAAAAATCGTGTTTGCTCAACAAACAAATGATTCAACTTTAACCTGACCCCGGGTGTCTGTCACAGCAGCAACAGCAACAGCAGCAGCAGCAGCAGCAGCGGCAGCAATCGAGCCAGCTGCAGGATGACATCACTTGCTATTTTGCTGCTATAGCGTATTGCCATTTGTTTGAATTAACAAAAACAAATAGGCATTCGCATACTGCTAAATGTTATAAATTACATTTGGCGCACAATTGACCAAAAATGTGCATTTGCATTGATTAGAAAACGAAGTAAATGTTGTTGCAGTTGCTGCTGTTGTTGTTGCTGCCACCCACAAGAGCAATTGGCACGCCTGCGCCCACGCCGGCTTAGTCAAAGCTGTCAAAATATCTGTTACATACACAACAACAATTGCAACAACTATATTAAGCATCTGCAGTTGTTGTAGGTGCAACAATTCAAATTATTCAATTAGCATTGCGTATACTTAATTTTGTTGGTTTTACGACTTCATCTATTTTTGCCACTGATGACGTCGCCTGAGCTGAGCCCCAGTTAGCGCCAATCTGTCCTTGACTAAATTGGAATTGATTTGGCAACCACATCGAGCAGCTGGGCGCGGGCAGACGACTTTCAGAGCTCAACTCAGCTCAAACCCCACCCAAGTTGGTGCTGCGCTCAATTGATATCCAACTGGGCGCTAGAAACCAGATGCGGGCCAGCTAAGTTGGCCAATGCAACTATAATTGACCAGCAGTGCAAATTATTGTTAATATTTTTTATTATTTCTTAGGTGGGTTGATTAACATGAATGAATTAAAAAAGTTATGGAAATTGTTTAGTTATGATTGATCAGCTAGAAAACTACCGAAGGATGAAACGTGAGCTTTGAAATGTAGTTAGGATGATCTCAAAGGTGTGTCTACTTTAGGCAAGGATTATAAAGGTCATTGATATATGAAAAACATTCATAGAGTATATGTATATATTAAAGCTATTATAGCAATCATAATACTTGTACAATAGTACAGTTGAGTTCCGATATTTCGAAATGGCAAGGGGATCAGTTTTTTTCGACTTACACAAAAATTTAGACTAACGACAAAGAATTTGTTTCAAGCGAATAGAATTTTTCGATTTATCGCGTTGCTTGATTTGACGGGCTACAAATTATAGAAACTTGACTGTATTTAAAATCATTATTCGATTTTAAGCAAAGATCAAGTTAATAAGCGACAATCATAATATATTTGACTTTCTCTGTTTCGATTCTCGAAATTACATGATATTTCTATTCTGGTTTCAACTATGAAATCGGCAGTTCGAAAAGCTTTCGTAGCTATAAATTATATACTTTTTAGATTATTTTAAGTACTCGATAATTATTGATAGTTATCAAACTGTGTTCGCTTGGTTTGCAATATTTTGTCGTCCATATGAGTCAAGCGAATCATATATTGTTGTATATAGGTCATAACTATTTTCTGTAGCCCAAAAGTTTTAGACCCAAAATGTGTTAATTAACTTAGTTGACCTTCTTTATAAATTGACCGAAAATTATATATGTTACGCCTGCTGGAGGCGTGGAAAACTGGCAAGTCCTACGCTTCTTTGCAGTTTCCATTAGCAAGCTGTGCAATTATATATATATAAGTATATACAATTATATATATTTTGAATGATAATAGAAAAATATATTTAAATTAAATGTAATAAATTCCGATATGAAAAATTCCTGCTAGCCCTGAAATTTCTTTAATAATTCCTTACAGTTCTATGTATCATTTCTAATGTATGTGCAATATATGTATGTGTATATATGTGCTATATGCTTAACATTTGAAATTTATATGTATATAGTAAACATATTTTACGTATTATTGACCTTCTGTTTTTATATAAAAAAAAATATATACAAAAATGTATATTTATTAAGTTTAGTCGTGCATAAATTTGTCTAAGGTATGAATTAATTCCAACAGTCGAGCTGATAAGTTCATAAGCTAACATTGACCAAAAAATGTTGTACATACATAGATAATATCTACATATATGTGTTGTATATGGTATCTATTAAAAATGTATTTAACTGTGCCCATAGAGTTAGTTTGTATATAGATATATATGTAATATATATATACACCGAATTTAATTCAGTTTAAGTTAAGAAAAGCAATTACTAAATTTATAAAATGACTTCTGTTAATTTTCAACATCTGTAAACTAACATCTGTTATTTTGCCCAATTAATTCTGTGAATTTTCAACATCTGTAAACTAACATCTGTTATTTTGCTCAATTATTATCTCTTACATAAAATATATTTAAATTTATATTTAAATATTCAATAATTAAGGCATAAACACGCACCTGGTCATTTCCGCAAAAACACTGTCAGCTGAATGTTTTTTTTTTTTTTTTTTTATAACATTTGCAATGCTTTGGCTCGGCTCGAGATACAAAACAAATTGATATTATTATAGAATATTTTAATTTGTTTTTGTTGTTGTTGTTGTTTTCTTTTTGTTTGGTTAGCTGCAGTTTCTAACGGTTCAGTTTTAAACAATGTTTGCACCAATCAATTACGTGTATTGTATCTTCTTAATATTGTATCTGGAATACACACGCGCATTCTAACGTTCGGGCTTTGCCTACGTGCGACTTCCTACGCGAGCGGCACTAAAAAATTTTATGAGCTGTGAAGAACACGCGAAATATTTGTTGTTGCTATTGTTGTTGTTGTTGCTGTTGTTGTTGCTGGCATTTTGGCAAAAATTATTGCACAATTCGAGGGCGAGAGAGTGTGAGAGCAAGGGCGAGCGAGTGCGAGACGGAGAGGTAGAGATAGGGCGGCTCGTAATGAGTGATAGTACAGCTAGAGAGCGAGAAAGAGCGCGTTCTGTTTGGCTAATTAGTAGCTTAGTCTTGTATCTGACGGATACGGATACACTTTGCACATGCTTGTAAAATGTGTTCTTGTGGCAACTAAAAATCAAGCAGAGCGTACCGCAGCAGCACGTAACGCCGACTGGCTGTACGACAGACCCTTGCCAATTCCCAATTCCCAAGTAAACAAAATAAATAACATAATTTAAAAGCACAAAAGCGCAAAAAAAAAAACACTCACACACACACAACAACAACAAAAACTGAGCAAAAATGCGAGTATCTAAAGGCGGACGGCAAACGCTCTTTATGCTTGTCTTTATACATTTATATATTTATACATAATATATGTATATATGTATGTGTGAGTGTATATATTTTAGCTTGTCTTTTCTTTTTTTTTTTTTGTGTGTTGCCAAAATTCGGCGCTGGGACGGCTCGGCAAGGGACTGGCAAAGCTTACAGATACTTTGCCGCCGCCTCTGCTGCAGTCGCTGCCGCCGCTGCTGCTGTCAGCTACGCAGCCGCGACATTTTAAGCAGCAGCAGCTACGATCAAGGGCATATTGGACACGACACAGCGCAGTCGGCGTCGCAGTCGCTGCTGTTGTCTCACCCTTGAAGGCGCTTACAGCAGCGATCTGCTTTGCCTGTATCTGTAGCTATAGCTGTCGCTGTATCTGTGAGCTGTATCTGTAGCTGTAGCTGTCGCTGTCTGTGTATCTGACGCTGGGTTTTCGCTTTCAAACGAACAATTTGCGAATTTCTTCGGCGACAGCCGCTCGTCTGCTTAAGAGCATTTTGTGTATGTGTTGTTGTTGTTGTTGTTATTGCTTTTTATTATTCCTATTCCTCTTTTTGCCTGCTAACCTAGTACCCGATCTTTGGCTTTATATCTGCCTCGCATGTGTGTGTGTGTCTGGGTGTATCTCTGTGTGTGTGTGTAAGTCTCGTTTTGTCTTTTTTGCTGTTCCGTTTTTTACGCGCGCTCAAAGAACATCATCCCCCCAAAATATATATATGTATAATATATATACACATATATAAGACTCAGTCTCAGYCTGAATCTCTCATATCATTTTAATTCCATGGAATTGCTGGAGACCGTGCAAAATGTGCGTCTCACATGTTTAGAAATTGAAAGGAACTGACAGATACATTTGACGATATGATGAGGATCTGTGCTGCTGCTTCGCTGCTTGACATCAGCTGTTTGCCAGGGGGCGTGCCGGCTGTGTTTTTTTGTGCTTTAGCAGCTTTTGTTGTTTTAGCGCAAATTCATACAAAATGCACGCACAATTTGCATTCGTTTTGTTTCGCGTTATCACACTGGGAGTTTCTATCGAAATCTATACCCGATTATGATTATTATTTTGCATTCAAATCATATGCATATATATATAGCATTACATTAGTGGGAATGTGTGCCTATAAAGAAGCCGTCATATGCAAATGCTTTCACTCCGCACCAAGCGCCAAAAACTATGTAGTTAATTCACTGGAAAATGCAACTTGTTCGATTGCTTCCCAGAAGCGAGCCAAAGCTCGAGAACTTTTGTGTATTTTAGTTAGTCCAAAATTTCAAACTCCCACATACTTTGCCAGTGTGTGTGTGTGTATGTGTGTCTGTGGGTGTCTTCAAGTGTATGTTTGCCTGGCTTAAATAGCCGCTGATCTCATTCAAAGTTCAAAGTTGCGCGACACATGTTGCATGCCCCTTGGCTTTGTTTATGCTTTTTGTTAGATATATTTATGTCGTAGATATTGCACCGATTTGAGCCACACTGTACTATATATTTTGGTTGTTTTAGCACTTGTTGACAGTTCAAGCCACTAGCAGGCTTTTAGTCTAAGACTAAGTTTCTTGTCTAATTGTGTTTCTAATTTTTTGCTTTTTTTTTTTTTGTTATTTTTATTTTTATTTCGTATTGCGATAGAAACGCGTGCCACAACGTTGCGGTTGCAGTTGTTTTTAGCGAGTGTTCGTTGCAAATGCTGCAAATAATGCTAAAAGTCTAAAAAGAACACGTTCAGCAGCAGCAACAGCCACAGCAACAACAACAACAACAACAGCAACAATAGCAGCAGCAGCGTCTCAGTGGCAGCCGTTGCAGCTGAGAGCGTCGTCGTCGTCGTCGCCGCATGTGGCAAATGCTGAAGCTGGCAAACTGCAATTGCTCTCGCATTCTCACTGTATCTCTCTCATTGTCTCTCTCCCTCTCTCTCTCTATCGCTATCGCTCTCTCGCTCCAGCATGCACATGTCTCGCGCTCTCTGAGCAGTGGCTGCATGCATGCATTAGAATTGACTTAGATTAAGACTAAGTCCGAAGCAAAGTCCGAGTGCGCTTCGTGCCTTTGGCTGGATCGCTAAGCTAGCTTTCCTGACATGCCGGTTTCCCAGCTGTGTGCATGTGTGTGTGTGTGTATCTCTCTCTATATCTGTGTGTGTTTGCTATTCAGTTCTTGCGGCACATGTGCGCAACAGCTCTTAAGTGGCTGCCGCTGTTGCCTCTGCCAGCGCTACACACACACACATATATGGGAAGGGGGGCAGCGGCTGTGTGCGTAAAGTTTGCGAAAAGCACACACAAAAGATGCTACAGCAAAAAAAAAAATAAATAAAAAAAAAAAATAGCGCGCATAGATCGTCCGTTTACCAGCTATCCACGTTTTGTGCAAAAAACCAAAACAACAACAACAACAACAAACAGCAGCAAACTTTTCGCGCGCCTAAGCTCGTTGCTTGCTCTCACACACTCACTCTCTCTTTCTCTCACTCTTACACTCTCTCACTTTTTTCTAGCGCTCAGGCAGAAGCACTCGCGCTCTCTCTCACTCTTTCTCTCTCATCGTGCGGCCGACTCTCATGTAAAAAGGCAAAGATACACAGCTGTATCTCATAGATACACGTACTCGAACGCTGCGATCGCACGCACTCGGCGCTGAGCAACTGGCGTCAAATTTGCGCTAATTATTTGCAAGCTATTTTTTTTTTATACAACAGCGTGGCGCACACACACTCACACTCATACTCGCATATAAGCTATGCGAAATACATTTAAATAAAATGTATCTCTGAAAATAATGCATGCTTTTTTTTTGGACTTGATTGAATGGGCGCTCTTTGTGGCTTTTAAAGAGCGCGCAATGTGTAGCGTCAATAATTTTTAAGGTTTGCATTTAACCTTTAACATTGCTTAGTTAAACATACACACACACACACACACACACACACTCACATCGCTGAGCATTCGCCACGCATACGCAAACAGCGCGGCGTAACGTACAAATTTTGTGGCCAGCTCTTGGTTATATGTACATGTGGTCGATGGGCGTAGGTGGGCTAAGGGGAGGGGCGTGCCGCAAACAGTAATTGGCAAGGTCGTTTCGGCATTTGTCGTAATCATTGGCAACGGTTTGCTTGGCTTCTGCTGGCGCTGCAAACGAACGAATGACAAAACAAACTTTGCCTGTTTGCGCTTGTTGTGCGGCTCGCGAAGAGCTCCAAGTCGGGCCAGGCCGGGCCATACCAGGCCGGCAACTATCGGCTACAAGCAACCAGCAGCTACAATGAACCAATAAAAGTGGAACTGGGCACACTATCAGTTACCCTGTAATTCATAAACTTAACGCAATTTGAGTTTTTCTTTTTGTGGCTTAACATTTTAGTATAGTTTACCACATAATATATTTATATTTTGAAAATTCTATTTGGATTTTAATATAAATTTGTTATTTATAAAACCTCAATATATATATTTTTTAACATTTCTATTTTATTTAATATTTTCAGAAGCTGAAAATTCAATTTACATTATTTTTAGAAACTGGCTCAAAACTCATTTCTACAATCTCTGCCAATAACAATCTGAATCAACTCATCACATATTACTCATCACTTCAATCCACCCTCTTCCAATCCCCACAGGGTATTAAAACAACGAAGCTGACTCGTAGAAAAAAGGGCATGCCACTGCCAAATTTGATATTGGGCGGCGCTTGGGCTCCTCAGTTAGCAAATATTTTACTTGAACATTTTTCCTTTGCTTTTTCAATTACTTTGCGAAACAAGAACTGAACGCGAGCCCCTTGATTGCAGCTTAACAAAACCGAAAGAGGTCGTCAATTGTTGGCTCAATTAAGAAACAAACGTAAGGGATATCAGATATGTTTAAAATTGTCAGAAGAAGAGAGAGGCTTTAGATTAGCTGGAAAACATTTGGATTTCCAGCTGAACATGAATACAAGTGTAGAAAAACTTTTCTAAAAGTAATTTATAATATTGCCAAATAAATTAGTAACCATTTTACATAAGCTATGAATGATATAAAATATACATATAAATACATGTGTATGTCTATATCTTTACTAAAAATGAATTTCCGTATCTAAAGTTTAGTTCTAATTATCGCCCAAGTTATACGTTAATGCATGCTGATTGTCGACTCACTGAAATATAAACGAAATAAAACGAGCATGGTTGACTGTATAATACTCGCTAATGGATATACTTAATGTAATACTTAAAAATCATATCTCTAAGGCTGTTGAGGACAAAGATCTTTACCAAGTCTTCATAGACCCTTGC